GGAAAATTACAATTTCAAGGGGGGGGGGGGGGCAAAAAGAAATAAAAAGCGTTAAAGTTCAGCTCCCCAAAATACTAACCACATTTTCATGCGGTCACAGGCACTCAGTCTCCTGTCTCAGGATGGAGGACAGAACACCTCAGTGGGGTTCATTAGTTGCCCAGATGTGCTGAAGTGCATGGCCTGGGTGACTACCACTACCTCAGCCTGAGCCAAGAGCTCCTTCTCCATTCAGGACACCCCAAGGTCATGCTCACCACCTTCCCAAGAGGAAAGAGCTCTCCTGGGCCAAGCTGATGACTCTTTAACTGGTCTTAACTCTGCCCAGCCTGGAAGACCCCTCCCTTCCCACATGACAGATACTGTAAGACCAGCACTGATCCTTCTTCCTTCTGCGGCTTCCCTCTGAGAAAGCCCCCTCCCCTTCCCTACCCAATATTCATCTCCATGCTGAATACTTTTTGATGGCTCTCACTGGGTCAGGGTTTGATGAAGACAGAACACACCCCATTGTGTCTGTGTGTTGCCGCACGCGTGTGTGGGTTCACGTGGATCCATGGAAAGAAGACTCAGAGGCATCTTAAGAATGAATCTGGCCTTTCTCGCCTGCAGGGGGATCCAACCTCAAAGGACTGAAGCCCCTTCCCTTCCCCCGGGGCATTTTTATTTATTCTCTATTACAGTTTAGCCAGTTACTTTTCAGACCTTCAAAGCAACCTAAAAGGAGCTCCCAGAGACCAAATGCCAAGTGCGAATTACTTGATTTATCAGGTACCACGGTCTTGTCTTCCCGGTTTCCTGAAACAAGTTTTACATAGGCCTTTTTTACAAAGGCCTTTGAACCTCGACTCTCAGACAAGATTCACACAGGGCGATAAGAGAAACAAAAGGTAAGAGAAACAAAAGGTGTGGTTAAACAAAGGAAGGATTAGGGGTAGGTGCTGCTCTCTGGAACCAGGCCAGGAGCTCAGCAGGAATGCACTGCAACCCATCTCCTCCGTGGGATCAGCATCCTGCAGAGCCAAATAGCATGGCATCCTTCATCCCAACCAGGTCCATCACCAGGTACTGGTTTCAAGGAGGATCTGAGGCCATGGCATAGGAAAGGACTATCTTCCCTCTCCACCCCCACACAGGGACTGATGGTGGGTATCCTCAGGAAGAGCCAGGTTACCTACAGTGCTACACAGAGGTGATGGGTAATCTTGTCAACTTGATAGAATTTGGAACCACTATGGGAACAAACCTCTGGACACGTCTGTGAGGGAGTTTCTATATTAACTGAGGTGGGAAGACCCACCCTGAGGGTGCTTGGGCGGGGGTTCCAGACTCAATAAAAAGGAGAAAGTGAGCTGAGCACCAGCATGCATCTCTCTCTGCCTCCCTCCTGAGGATGCCATGCGACCCGCCGCCTGGCCCTCCTGCCAACATGCCTTCCCCGCCACGATGGACTGTGCCCTGCAAGTATGAGCCAGAATAATCCCTTCCTTCCTCAAATTGCTTTGTCGAGTAGCCTGCCACAGCAGAGAGAAAAGTAACAGAGACACCTGTAACCAGGAGAACTTGGGGAAATGCTTTCCCTTTACTGACAGACAAAACCCGTGCACAATAATTACAGGTCAGAAAGAAGAGTCCGGCTGCGCGGCCGCTATCTCGCTGTTCCCAGGGGCACAGCAATCCGCTACTCCCGCTGCTAGTTCCTGATGGGCGGTGGGGAAGGTCACCAAGCCGCACTTTCTCCGTGGCTTCGGCAAGCCCCTCCACAGTCCAAGAGAGGGCGCATCTGCGCCTCGGCTCCATATCCGGGTCTTCTCTAATGAAGACTCCGCCCATTTGGCCAAGCGGCCCTTTGCAGCGTTCCCCCAACACACTTGCGTCGCTGGGATTCACCCAGCCACACGGGAACAGGCCGCCCATCCTGCCCTTCCACGGGCATCTCTCCCCTCTCCATACCACACTCACAGCTCACAACTTCCCTGCACAAGGACTGGTGGAACTTCCCAGCCGAGCATAGCAGTCCGCGAGCAATTTTGTGAGACATGTATTTATTTCGAGGGGAGCCTGATGGGAAGAAGAGCCACGGACTGCAGCTCGTCAAGACTTACACGTTCCCAGGGTAGTCGAGCATCCAAACCACACTTCACCCTTGGGGATTGAGCTTCCTGGTCCCACAGTGATCAATAACAGGATGGTTTTCTGGGACAGCCACTCTCTAGGACAGCAACAGCAGAAAGCCTTAGGAAGGTGTCAAAATGAGTCAGAAAATGCCCCAGGGCTGCCAGCCGCCAGCCAAGCTCAGTCCTTGCTTGTCCAATCTCCCAATTGTCGGTGACCCTGGCAGGACTTTCCTGAGGGCCACAGGATGTGCTGAGGTCAGTCCAAGAACAAACAGACCCCAAAAAGACAGATGGTACCTCACTTACATAGTGGTATATAGATCAGTGGTTTTCAATCTTTGGATCACGACCCCTTTGCCAAACCTCTGTCTCCAAAAAAATTTACGTTACCATTTATAACAGTAGCAAAATGACAGTTATGAAATTAATTTTATGGTTGAGGGTCATCGCACCATGAGGCATCGTATTAAAGGGTCGCGGTGTCAGGGAGGTTGAGAACCACTGTTACAGACGATGCTGGAGCTGGTGGCGTAGTGCCCGGGCTGAGTGGTGATTGTCAGTGAGGAAAAGTGGGCAGTTGCAGAAGAGCAGGGGTCCTCCTAGGGGCAGCAATCCAGAGCTGGCCCAGCCAATGGAGAGCGAGGTACCCGTCTCTCCCTTCTTCGAGGAAGGTATCAGCTCTTCGGAGAATTCTTGCATGATGTCGTTCGTGGGTTACCCAGGAAACACACACCCATCATTAACAGGCCAACCAGCATGTGCAATGCCCTACCCCATTCTGATCTTGACTTGATGCTCTCCTTCACCACACACTTCAAGCACTTGCTCCCAACCATGCGCAGATGCAAAGCCGGCCCAGCTGTGATGATACACATGACCGTGAGGACCGGAGGCATCTGCCAGGACTCAGGAGGACCCAGCAGGGAGTCATACGCCTTACACTGAATCTAATGACTATCTTGTGCCACAGAGGACTTTCACGGGCCCTTCCAGATGGTTGATGCTCTGATATCATGGCTGGAAATGTCTATCACCTGCCTGTTGGACAGAACACAGCTCACTAAGGCACGTAGCCAGCCTTTCATAACCAGAAAGATGCCCACCACCATCAACCACTGAGAAGCCATGGCACAGCTGTTGCCGAGCAACACAAAGCCAGTCTGAGCTGATGCTGCCACCAGGGAGGGTCTCCAGACAGCGAAATGCGCAAGCCAACAAATGTGCCCACAGACCTCCCTTCCTGACAGGCAGGTGGGTCTCTGTGAGTTCGAGGCCAGCCTGGTCTGCAGGAAATAAATAAAGCCAAAAATGAAATTAATGAAACCCAAAACAAACAGTGGTATTGAATAGGAAAAAAGGTTCAATAATATTAAAGTGGGAGAGCAAGTTCCTTGCTTCTGCAGAGCAAGTTCCAGAACAGCCAGGGCTACACAGAGAAACCCTGTCTTCCTTCCTGCCAGGGCCGTCGGCAGGCAGACTGGGTGTCTAACTCAGGTAGGGGACAGGACAGGGGCAGGAGTTTCATTTCTCTTGCTGGCCACCACCATCCCAACTGTCCTCTGTATTTCTGAGTCCAAGCCAACAAAGACATTCTAAGGTCCTTGGACAAGAGTCAGCATCCGGTATCAAGAGACCGTTCTTGGGCCTGGGGATATGGTTCAGTCCGTAGAGCACTTCCCTAGCGTGGACCTAAAGCTCTGACCTTATCTCCGACACTGCAGAGGTAGCTGTGGCGGCTCAACCCTGTAGTGCCAGCATTCAGGAGGTGAAGCCAGGGGATCCAGAATTTAAAGTCATCCTCAGATACATAGCGTAAGGCCACCCTGGGCTGAGTAAGACACTGTCTCAAGAAGGGGGGGGGGGTGCTGTGGGAGAGGAAAGCAGGAAGGCAAGTAGGTAGACCTCTTTCTCACAGTGAACTCAGACCAGGAATGACCAGTAAGGAATGCTCCAGAGGTCTCCAGATGCTCACACATGGGATGAAAAGTTGGAGTTGGAACATCCCAGCCAGGTTCAGGACTTCAGACAAGGGTTAACACACCCTCATTCCCCACCATTGTGGGCTTCAATAGAAAGAAAACATGGAGCACCTCGGAGGAGAATCTGAGGATGAAGTCCTGGGCATCACAGCATCACAGCGAATTTCCTTTGTGACCTTGCTCTCCATGCGACTACGGATTCCCTCATCGGTGTTATCTGTGTGGCTGTTCTCTCTCTCTCTCTCTCTCTCTCTCTCTCTCTCTCTCCCTCCCTCCCTCCCTCCGTCCCTCCCTCCCTTTCTCCCTCTTCCTCCCTCTTCTTCTTCCTTTCCTCCTCCTCCTCTTGTTCTTCTAAACCTTTAAGGGCTGGAGAGATGCTCAGTGGCTAAGAGCACACACTGCTCTTGCAGAGGACCAGCCACCCACTTCAGGTGACTCCAGCTCCAGGACACACCAGTCTCCCTCTTCTGGCCTGTGAGGGTACTGCATGCACATGTACATTTCAGCACACATGCACGCATGCGCGTACACACTTAAAAATAAAGTGAGTCTTAATTAATTAATTTGTTTGTTTGTTTGTTTATTATTTGGGTTACGTGTAGGGGTCAGGGGACAACTTCAGGAAGTGGATCTCCCTTTCCATGATGTGAGTCCCAAGAATTGAACTCAAGTTCAGCAGGCTTGGCAGATAGCACATTTACCTATTAAGCCATCTCCCTGGAATTATTTTTTTTTTAATTTTTCTTTCTTTTAAGATTTTATTTATTTATTATGTATAGTGTTCTGCCTGCATGTACAACGGCCGGCCAGAAGAGAGCACCAGATCTCATTCCAGATGGTTGTGAGTCACCACGTGGTTGCTGGGAATTGAACTCAGGACCTCTGGAAGAGCAGACTGCGCCCTTAACCTCTGAACCATCTCTCCAGCCCCCTTCTTTCTTTTTCTAGTGCCCTTTTGTTTTCTTTTTGAGACATAGTCTTATATAGCCCAGGCTGGTCCCAGACACAACTCTGTAGCTGAGGATAACCTTGAACTGATCCTCCTGCTTCCACTTCAGGTCCTGGGATTCCAGGCAAGCATTGCCACACTAGTTGACACAATGCTAGGGGTGGAAATGGGGCTTCATGCATGCTAGGCAAGCATTCTACAGACTGACCCCCCTTGCCAGTCCTCGGTTGGGGTTTGATCATCACCAGATTACCCTGGGATGCCTTCACATGCCATCTGTCTCGCTGGCCCTGTAACTATCTTTGCACCACGTTCTCCTTAGTCATGAAAAGATATCAGCATCCCACGCTATGGAAGATGCTGACGAAGATTCGGACATCAGCATCCCACGCTGTAGAATCGGGTGTGCTGAGCCAGGTGGTGGTGGCGCATGCCTTTAATCCCAGCACTTGGGAGGCAGAGGCAGGTGGATCTCTGTGTGTTCCAGGCCAGCCTGATCTACAGAGCAAGTTCCAGGACAGTCAAGGCTACACAGAGAAACCCTGTCTCAAGAAAAAAAAAAAGCAAAAAAAAAG